AACAGAAGACACTCCATCCAGTGCATCTTTAATTGTTTCAGGTGAAAAGAGGTCTCCTGCATCAAGGGCAGAAATATAAGACGACATGCATTGAACATTCCCAATAGCACGTAGCCCCAAATACAAAACAAACCTTGATGCCAAGTCACTCTATCTGCCCAAGCTTCATTAATGGATGACCTTCCAGATCTAAAAGAAGAAGGCACAAGTAAGATATCCAAATTATTGATTATGAAGAATCATAAACCAACTTATTCATTTTAATAATGTTGTCAATCAGTAATTGGTTCAAAACTTCAAATACAACCATTCAAGGAGAATAGAAAACAGCTAAAACATGTCATGTTAAGCCTCCAGCAACATGCAAAGTTTGTATTGGACACAAAGTCTCTATATGTTCAACTTTAACTACCTCTTCGCAAGAGCTAAAAGAAATGCTAAAAGAGCATTACAAACTCTAGCAGCTGAATATAAACTGGGACACAAATAAAACCAGTAAATCCACTATCTACAGTTGTGATGGAAATACCTGCTCATGCTAGCAACTGACAAGCCATGTATTAAAGCTTCTTTGCATATGTGAGAACCAACAAATCCATTGCCTCCAAAAACAAGTAGCTTAACCAACACAACACAATGAATAGAGTCAAAATAAAAACTCCGTGCTTACAGGCAAATAGTTGACAACTACTCCGTGCTTATAGGAGTATAACGGATTTTAACTAAAGCACAATAAAAACTAAGTACCAAGTACGTGAAAGTTAAAAGGAGATACCTTTTCAGAAGGGGGAGGAGGAACATTGACTGTTTCGGCTTCCTCAATTCTAGAGCCTCCATTGATCCCTGTAGATTCTGTAGACAGAAATCTACAACTTCTAGACACTGCTAATGTACTGGCAAACCAAAAGATTGAAATAGGGTCAAGATGCAGGTGAATAAATATCCAAATTAGTTATATCCATATGTACAAAAATATCTTGAAAAAACTACCTACAGCCTAGAAAATCATCAAAAAGAACTCCCTTTTTCTTAAAAATAGCAGCATTAAAGCACATGAGAACAAGTAGATGAGCAGATAATATCTCTTGAGATAAAATAAAAGAAAACTCAACAATGATGTATTTTTCATGCATATTAGACAATTTTATTCTCCTATTTGAGACCAGCAATGTTATTGATAATCTTTCCTCAATCTATATATTAAACTCATCATGTTCACATAAGTTAAATTTTCCCTTAAATTTGATAACTTTAGGCAGCAGTCAAAATTTCCCTTCAATTTGATAACTTTCGACAGCAGTGAGCACAAAAAAGTATATTTTATTGACAAGGTGAGCAATGTGTAATCAAGCTGATATGCAGATAAAATGGAGCAGTACTAGTACATGCCCCACATATTTATGGTAACTTATGTTTCTCCTTTTAATCGTCTCTTTTAGGCAAAAAAAAAAAAAAAAAAAAAGCAAGTCAAATGCAAATGAGGTAATGAACTTCCAAGTTCTAAGCATAACATATAAGCTATAAACCTAAGAATAGTTACTCCCTCCATTTCTAAGAATGAACCAGTTTAATTTGTCCTTAGAGTTTTCCCAATATCATAAATGAACATGAGAGGCCACCATTTTACTCTCATGTACACTACTTTTGGTCCCACCAACTTTCTCTCTCGTCAACTCATTCAACTTAACTTTAAAAAAGTAACCATACTCCAATGGGGCAATATTAGAGGGATGAAGGGATGCGGACACTGGCACTATATAAAGCCACAGCTTTAATACAAAAAATCAAATAGGTCACTAGTCCTCAGGTCCTCACTACGTCTATAACAAATACATAGACCATTGTAAACCACCATAAGCAAAATTCACAAAATCTATTCCAGATATTTCCAAAGAAAATAGTTATAGCCTTCTCAATAAAAGTGTTTGTGCCATTTTGTAGAAAACAGGTTCGAAATTGGTGTAACTGAACAAGTTGGAAACCTTGTATATGGAGGTTTCTAAATTTTAAACTAAAAAATCCTCCAAGGTTGAGAAAGATATGAAAATGGCTTTGGATTTCCCAGGAAGGAGGTTTCCAACTTAGGCCACTAAAGCGAGGTTTGATCCTAAAACTAATTACTCAATTAGCACTAAGTAGAGCAACTCTCTAGGCGACTAGGCTTATACATGGTAAGTTCGTTTCCTCTCCTCTAATGTAGGACAACTCACATGTGAACTATTGAAACCCCTTTGTTGTCCACATGTGAGTTGTCCCACATTAGAGGAAAAGAAGAGAAAATACCACCTTATAAGCTAGAGGAACAACTCCGAATTATTATCACCAATTGGTTGGTTTTAGTATAAAACCTCATCTTAGCTTGTAAGTGAATCAAACTCTTCTCTTTCATTTTCTAGTAATAACAGACACTCACACGTATGGGGAATGTTGAAACCCTTCTGTTGTCCATACGTGAGTTGTTCCTCATTGAAGAAAAAGGAGAGAAAATATCATCTTACAAGCTAGAGGAACTACTATTATCACCAACTGGTTTTATTATGAACCTCTTGTGATCAATCTCTCCTCCTCCTTGTTTAATCACCTAGACTCGTTTCATCTCTTCTAAAAATTTATCATGAACACATATATAGGGTTCGACAACCTCTAGAACCTTCTCCCCACACTCCTATACATATTCATATACCAACTACGGAAAGGCGTGAGGCCTCAGCCTCAAATGAAGATACCATAACTCCTACCTATAAACCACAAGAATGTGAATTCCCTTTAAACAATTATCCTACTCCAAATCAAGAGCTGCATTACAAATTTTTCCCTAGGAAAAAAAGAAGCCAATTTTCACCATTGCCTAATACGATAAACCGCATAATTTAATTCGTACAAAAACAAAATATGTTCATTGAGGAATTTCGTCGAACACTGAGAATGCAATCCAAATCAATAAATTTAATGAGCAAAATATGACTCAAATCATCAATTTAGCCATCAAATATATTAAAATGAAAATATAATCATAATATGATCAAACAAATAAACAATCGCTCAACAATTAAAAGTAAAATTAAGCAACTTATAAAACACCACATTAAAAATTGATCATTTTGTTTTGGTTATGTAATCTACAATTTAAAAGAATCAATAATCAGATAAAGAAACAGATGTTCTTATTGCAATTTAGAAAGAGAAGATCGAGCTTGAATTAGGCGAGACATGTTGGTGAAATTTGCAGGAAATTAATCGAAAATTGTCGTAGCAAAAAAAAGGAAATTAATATGATCTTGTTGGTTTTTTTTTTTTTTTGGTTAATTTGCAGGAAAACAGGAGTGAGTGTTTGAACTTTGAAGAGAAGAAGTTGAGATTCGAACACGTGGCGAATGAAGGTGAAGGCAAGTCTCTTACTAACATGTGGCTCAATGTCAGCCTGTGGAAGGGACCCGGTTTTGGTGTACTCCTAACTCCCATGACCTCATGATCGTGAGGGCCAATGCACTGACCAAAATCGGACCGGACCAGAACCAATTTGATCAAAACATTGAAATGGTTCATTGTGGAAATTGAAAATTAGATTGTAATCGGTTTTACAATATAGTTCTCATTTTTATTTGTATTTTGGTCTTTTAGTCATTTTTTTTTACTATCAATATCTTCATTTTTACGTATTATAACAAAGTTATAAAAAATTATTATAAAACTACACATGAGACCATGTTTTTGTGTATATAACAATGAGAATCTTTAGTCAAAATTTTCAAAGTTCGACCATAAAATAGAAATGGTAACTTGCACCATAACTCTATAAGTCGTAACTATGTTATGGGACGAAAGAAGTAAATTGAATTGAACAGTTGTAGGTCTTGTTTTGGATCTGATTAGACTTCTTAATATATCATTTTTGCAACTATATTTCACTTATACTATTGATGAACTTAAAAACAATGATGCATGCTAATTTAGACAACATGTAAACTTAAAGACAATAAGAATTTAAACATATTAACGCTCAAAATTGTGCATTGACAAGCATAAAAGTTAACATGGTGCAATGAGGAAGCACATATTCACAATATAATGCATAGACGATTAGTGAATCAGATTCTTCTAACGCCAAATTGCCTTTACAACATTCTTGTCAATATAACCTCATAGTTTTTGTTACACTTTTTTAATCTGATAGAGAAAACTTTATTAAGTTACCATCATTTAAAATTTGTAATAGTGAAGTATTTTACAAGCATGTTAAATAAGGTCAATAGCTACAATTGTGTAATGTTTCTTATCAATTTGGGAACATATGCGCTACTTGTAAAGTTGTAAGAAGTAAGGATAATGACATATATAAAGGAAGCTAGTAAGCTCTAAAAATCAAAATTTATACGTAAAATGCATGGGTGGTTAATTTTGTTGGTACAATTAAAAAATGGAAGAAACTTCCATTAGAAAATACACAATTAATGAAGATTAAAAATAAAAGGAATTAATTAATATTGTTACTTAACAAAATTGGTAGGTCCAAGAATTAATTGACAAATGGGTGAGCCTAAAAATATTTTCTCCAATAAAAGCATCATATTCTAAAATGAAGCCTCAAGCAAGGAAGATAGAGAAATTGATTGGATTAAGACGGCATCAAATTAGACATACAGCAATGACAATATCTCACATCAAAAGTAAGAAAAAGAGGGCATTTAGCTAGCTAGAGTGCGTAATGGAATAGGTATAAATATAATTTATAAGGCCAGGTATACACCTTTGAATATTGCTATCAACTTTTATCTTCTTTTCTAGTCTTGTTTCCAAATGCTATTACTTGAGTAAAACAAAAGCAAGTGACAAACGTGAATTCAATACTACTAAACTAGATATAATTTAGGGTATATGGATAATTTAAAGATGACTTTTATCATTGCACTAAATTTGCAACTCTACACTCATTTATATTCTACTCTCTGCATGCTCTTGTGAGTATACAAAAAAAGAACGTGAAAACTTAGAAGGTATAATTTACACTCATTTAGATAGAGAGAAAGGGAAAGGGCGAAAGTCGGAATAGTTTTCTTTCATAATCACCATTTTATCAAGAAAATTGAGGTTAGTTTATCGATCTTCTACTTCTTATTTATCTACCCAAACAAATTAAAGTGTCAAAAGATTATAATATTATTTACATAATTAGTTAGTTTAGACTCTTTTTATTACCAAAATCTTATGCTTCAATCAATATTATTATTGAAAAATAACCATGTAGTCCATAATTTTTTTAAGAAAAAAAGGAGCGGACAATAGCTAGCACATCACATATATTGATATTTATCCTTGAAAAGGATTATTATATTCACAACATAGTTGCAACCATATTGGAGACAAGAGAATCTATGGTTAATAAGTTATTGCATCATAAATTTTTTCATACATCTTCTTGGCCCCCTTTTTTCTATTAATCCACTATCAAATGTCAAACCTAAGCAGATACATATTATATGTAAAATATATGCCATCACTGTTAATAAAAAAAGATACGGTACTTAATCAAATTCCATATGTTATTTTTATTTGTCTTAGGCTTATCCATTATTTATTTATAAGAATATTTCTATATATTCCATATTCATTTCACTTGATCATATGAAATGACTTCATACTAAGCTTCAAGATAATGATGATGGAATAATTGCCAAACCATCTTTTAGGAGTATCCAAATGACATAATTAATCTATGTTGTATAGATTTAAACTCCAAATCGAACCTTTATTGTATTGTCTAATCAAGGATTAAAACTAATAAAGTTATAAATGCTTCATATGTAATCTGATTAAGGTATAGTTATTTTTATATTTATGCTATCCAATTGTATTAGTCAATAAAACTATCAAATGATGGTTGAATTTGGTGCTCACGGCCCCCAGTGCTGATTAATCCTCCAATCAATTATTATAACAATAACTTTAATTTCATATTATACATATGGCCCCAGTAAAATTAAAGTAAAAGAGATATGATTATGTGAAATAGCAAAATTAATCAATATAAAGCTTAGGTCACACATCACTACCTGAAATAAACTAGACGAAAAATATGTAGCACTAGCTAGCTAGCACATCGTTTATTTTATGATGGTATCTTGCTCAAAATATGGAATATACTAGATTTCAACTAATCTGATATCAAGTAGCTAGGCTTAATTCTCAATTCAAGAGTTCAATTCACCTCGCACATGTTAAGTTGCGTTTTCAGATTCAAAACAGCTAATTAAGTCCGAATAACTTTCTTATCAGTTGATCATCATTTATATGATATATGCTAGAAATAACTAATGGGTTATAAATATGTAAAAAGCATATAGTTTTTTGTCATGATGTGCATTGAAATTGCACTAAAGGGGGAGAACAAATTGTTGTTGTTACTTTACCCACCATTCTATTCTTTATACATCTTCTTTGCAGGTTAATGAGTATGTATTGGATGATATCATCTTTGTTACTTTGCCCCCAAAACAGTATTTGAGTGCGTTCCACTATAACGTTTGAAATGGACTCGTGGGGGGAGATGATCAATCAAAGTTATAATATTGGAATCCGGATAAGATTTGCACCTAGCGTATGCTATACCTTTCATTTTTTTTAAAAGTACTTATGGATAATAGTTTGATTTTTGACATTATTTACAAATTCCATTGCTAATTACTACGTGGTAATTTATACATATAAAGATACATATACATTTGTATATATGAGGCCTGGTTGAATTTTTCTTAGCACTCGTATGCATTTTCTGAATATCAACTTTTTATAACTATAATATACATAAATACGTAATAGAGATAAAAATAATCAAAGTTTTTATTTTAACAAGCGCGAAAAGCAAGTGTTAAAAACTTTTTACTAGTAGATAGAAATGGAGTTCCTATACTATATATGGAGTAATTAAAAAAAATAATACTTATGTATATAATCTTTTATTCTTTCTCATTAAAAGTGTTATTGCTCTTATTGGTACATCTTGTACCTATATACATTATCAACATATTTTATGATGAGGCCCATTGTATATAATTAGTGGCGAATATGAAACTAACTGTCCTTTTAAGTAGTCATTAACAAACAAATATAAATTAAGGAATTTAAATATAATTATCTTACCATATAAGTGCATATTAGTTGTTAGGTTTAGCATTTTTATCGAATTAATAATTATGTGATTACTTCTGTTAAAATTGGCATATACCACTATTCTTTAGAAACTTCTGCAGAATGAAACACGTACTTATTATTTAATTTGCTAAAGATAACAAATCATCTTCTGACATTCATGTAATCACTATTTATGTGGTGAAATGATGAAACAAAAAAAGATATACGAATCAGTTCATGTGGCTAAGTTTCATACATTTAGTAATTAACAGAATAAATTAAAGTTAATAGATAGTAGTACTGTAATTAAAGCATGTTAAGTACACCTTTTGAAGCTTAATCAATTGGTTTGAAAAGTAACTAATAAGATATATCTATTGCTAGAAGTATGTATTGTATACACATTATCTTCACATTGTGGATGTCAATCAATGCATGGAAACTTTAGAATTTTTTAAGAGACATAGTTTTTAATAGTTAAAAAGTCATGTTTATCGGTCGAAGAGAATGAAAAAAGCCCGATTTAGGCTTTTAGTTTATTGGAGGGTTACTAACCAATTTAATCCCGTACATACGAGGGGAAGGGGATTAACTTGGACCTCATGGTTAATTATTACCAACTACGATCCTATTTATATTCTATACGATTAGATCAAATTTGCAATTGTTAATAATCATATGCATCTGAATTGGTATGATCTGATCATTATTTTATGTACTATCAATGTAGCTTGCGACATAATAATTTACTTTAAGCATCCTCATTTATGAATAATTAGTTTGCTAACTTAAGTGTTGAAAATTTAATTATAGGAAATTTTAGTTTAAGTTTTTTTGTAAAATAAAAAAAAAAAAAAAAAAATTAACCAAAACAAAACAAACTTGACATAGACGTTTGTGAGGAAAGTAAGGATGGTTGATTTAGGTGGTGTGACATTATTGGATACACAATCAAATTAATTACGTTGACATCACTGAGAAACAGAATAAAACATAAATGACGATGATGATCATGGTGATGAATGTATTTATCGGCCATATCATATGGGCTATTCCTCTTTGCAGATAAAAAGTTGTCATCAACGATCACACTGTTAAGTGCTAACTAAATTTGAGATAATTGACATCATAATTCATAAAATTGTTCATATGATGCCCATCCTAAACAAAAACTCTTAAAACAAATACGAACAACGTAGAGGATACGCAATATTTAATTTTACAATAATCTAAGTATAAAAAGTAGTATTTTCTTGTTTTACTACATTATATAGTACGGAATAAACTTTATTCATCTGAAAACATAATATTTGTTAAGAAAATAATTTATAAAAATCTCATAAAT